AAAATAAGTCGTGTTTATATGAACATAAGCGCACATTTGGGGATTGCTTCGCATATGGGTCACACAAGAGTTGCTAGCCGAGGCTAGAGCTGCTAGCTCGATACTCACCCAGATAGTTCTCTCTGTGTTTATCCACTTTCACATCGTCCCAGTTGAACTGGTCCTGACCCCCTCTCACCCCTCCAGACCTCGATGAGCCAAACATGACCCCTGTTCATCCAGACACACTTTCTCAGCCTCCTAAAAGCGCAGAGATGTTTTACACGCGTGTAGTAGAAGAATCAGGCCTTAGTTTTCCACAACATCCGGGAAACCGCCGGCCTTTATTTTATAAATTCAGCGTGAAGCTCTTTTTTTTTTTTTTTTAATCACCGCAAATATTATCTTGTCGACCAAGCTCTATTCAGTACGACATGACAAAAACGATTCTTTTTTTATTATTATTATTGTGCGTGTTCCTGTATGAGAATATGCGATGTCAACATCATGCGCCGTTTGGCGCGGGTTCAGATTCAGAACGCGGATGTTCTAAAGATCTGTGAGAAGCGTGTCGCCTTCTGATGACGCCGCAGTAATGGCTCTCATGAGAAAATCAGTCACCTGAGCAAGAGAGGAAGATTATAAGCGAAGGGAGAAAGACATTCTCCCCGTGTTTGAGCTCCTTTTCCCCAATGTATGTGAGGTTTATCTCCAGGTTTTTTTCAGGTGAGTTTAAACACGCTGTAGCTTTAAATGATGTGATGGTCGCCAGTTGCATCATCTTTTTGTGTTGATGATACAGTAAAGAAGTTGTGAAGTGCTATTATAATGTTGATTCTTCATAAGGCTTAATTTGATGCTTTTTTACTCTCTTAGCTGATTTGAATTCATCACGTTCGGTATGTTTCAAAGTGAACCTGCTGCTTTATGATTGAACCATAATACATGTGTAATGCATTGTGCACGCTAATATTTAGTGTAAATACAAAGTTGTGCATGGATAGATTTATTTATAGTCGGGTTTGTGATTGTATCTGTGGCTTTGTGGAAATATGGAAGCTGCATGTGGATGTCCAAACTACTTGAAACTACTCGTGAAAATGTTTTTTATATTTAATATAACAGAAATTTAAGAACAACGCATATTGTCAGCCTAACATTTGAGAAAAAGGTTAATTGAAAAATGAACATGGATTTAAGAATGTTAATGTGATCCAGCATGATTAGAGAATGTTCCAAAGAGCATCTTGTGTGCTTAAGAAAAGAAGAAAAATGTAGATCTCTAAATCAGGAAATATGACACGTGACCCTGGAGCACAAAACCAGTCATAAGGGTCAATTTTTCGAAATTGAGATTTATACATCATCTGAAAGCTGAATAAATGAGTTTTCCATTGATGTATGGTTTGTTAGGATAGGACAATATTTGGCCGAGATACAACTATTTGAAAATCTGGAATCTGAGGGTGCAAAAAAATCTAAATATTGAGAAAATCATCTTTAAAGTTGTCCAAATGAAGTTCTTAGCAATGCATATTACTAATCAAAAATTAAGTTTTAATATATTTACAGTAGAAAATTTACAAAATATCTTCAAGGAACATGATCTTTACTTAATATCCTAATGATTTTTGGCATAAAAGAAAAATCAATCATTTTGACCCATACAATGTATTTTTGGCTATTGCTACAAATATACCCCAGCGACTTAAGACTGCTTTTGTGCTCCAGGGTCACACATGAGATTTGCTTCTAACTAAGCAGGGAAACAATGACAGAAGTATTTGAGTAATCTTAGTTGCATCATTGAATTTGTCTGAGCAGAAAAACGTTCAGTAATTAAACGTTTATAACAAACAAAGGCGAATGAAAAATTTAGCTTTTTGCCTCTAATTTCTTAAATTGTGCATCCTTGTTTACTTTTCACACTCGTCTCCAAGTAAGATGTGATGAAAGTACACAAGGAATGAAACTGAGCACAGAGGAATTGCAGGACTGTTTCTTCGTATTTTGGACTACTTTTGATCACTTGGTTTGGTTTTTTAGGAAATTTGTAAGAAAAATTAACCCTTGTGCTGTGCTGAAAGTCCTGAAAATGTAGTGATCTGAGCTTAGGCACCTCCGTTTGTGAGTGAATAATGCCAGAATTATCCACAAATTAGGCTATTTTGTTTTTTTTTTTTGCTCAATAACTGGTGTGCAAGCTCAGATCAATGAGGCCTATGAACAGTCAGTTCCAAAAATAATTTAAAAAAAACTGTGCTAATTGATAAAAAAAAAAATATAAGCCAATTTTTTTGGGAGGTTGTTATACCCCGTGTAATCAAAAGTCAGCAAGCTTTAGTCCAATGCAATAACATTAACTGGCATTTTCAGGAAAAAAGAAAAATTCTCTCTGGGTCAAAATGGCACAACATGAGGGTTAAAAAAGCAAGATGCCCTGTTGAAATATATGTCAAATGTAAGGTTTATTTGAACTGCAAAGGTAAAACAGGCATTAAAATGATTGTGACAGATGAACGGGGTTAGTTTTTCTACAACAAATGCTCCTACAGCGCCTCAGGAAGCTTCCTCGCAGTGCAGTAAGAGAAGGGAGAGCGTCCTTTAAAGGTCCCATATTGTCAAAACTGACATTTCCTGGCGTTTTTCACGATAACTGAGGTCTAGGTGCTATGTAACTACCATATAAGTTTCAAAACAGTCAGTCCACAGTAAAATGCACACAGCCTGCATAAAGTAGCTGTGATTTTTCACAAACCATTGTGACTTCCGTAAAAAGTTGACGTCAGAACTACAGACATATGGCAAGAAATCTGTAGACACGCCCATAACAACAAAAGACTGAACAAACGCGAGCATTTGTGACGATCGTTTCTGTCCAGTTTGCTCGTTTTATCGCGTTTAACCACAGCTGTCGTCGGTTTTTTGTCTGGCAGTGGCAGCAGATATGCGATCAAATTTCTAATTTGAGGCTGTATTACGTCGATTCTGGCACCCAGAATCACAACAAGAAGATATTTTAAGCTCCTTATGTAGCCGAATCTGCGCTGGTTTGAATGGGCCGCCTCCAGTTTCCCCTTTGTTTTGCTGCCTCCAGCTAGCGCTGTGACGTCGGCTGACCCTAGTTACCTGTGGTTGGCCTGGCCGTGCGTCACTCAGAAAACAACAGGCCAATCAGAAGAGAGGCTCATGAATATTAATTAGACAGGCCAAAATCGACCCGTTCTCAGCAGAGCTCCTGAGAGAGGAGCTGTAAAAATATATTGAGATGGCTAGACCTTTAAGATCAGTTTATGCGTCACGGACTGAAGGACAGAGGAGCGAGGAAACGAGGAAGCATCCATTTGAGTTTTGAGAAATCATCTTGTGACCTTGAAGACTTTGAAATGTAGAGCATCTCTTATCTCTGACTGACGAGTGCAGACGATACACGGCACACAACATCAGATTCTTTAAGTTACTAGATTAGAGCGCCTGCCAAAACTGGTCACATGTCAAGAGGTCGCACCGTATGACTTGCATTAAGTCACACGTGGAGCTCATTTATTATGAGTATGTGTTTAATTAGACATCTCATGACCGTTTGTAATGGAGAGTCTGACACAGTTTTGTTGAATCAAATGATATTATCGCTTGCGTGTGATTACAGCTGTTTTGCAGTTTAATGTAGTCTGACGTCCAGCTGTAGTGAATTATGCAACTCACTTGAATTCAGTGTGTATGGAAACACTATGGAAATCTTGTGACCCGTGGCTCTGATTTTGACACTGAAAAGGAGCCGTTTGGACTTCCAAACCCATTACTTTCAAGTGCCTCATGTCACTCACAGCTGTGTTTGCTCGGAGACGTCACTTCAGCGCTCGCTGGAATAAGACGCAAGGCTATTTTAAATCAAAGATGCCATTTTAGGATTTGGCATGGTCACGTTGGATGTCAACAAAAGTACACAAATCATTCATTTAAGATTAAATCCCTGTAATGAAATATTACTCCAGTCAAAGTAATAATTTATCATAATCACAAAGTAAATAGAACTTTGAACTAAATAGAAATAGAATAGAAGTAAAGTACTTATTTTGATAGGTTCTGTTAACATAATTATAATTAATGAATAATTGATTATTATTTTATCTTAATACTGGGTGTAATTTAAACTGAAATTTCTGTTGTAGTAACTTTCAAAATTAAGCAGTGGTTTTCTAGTTCCCAGCATGCTTTGCATATGACTTGATTAGGAGATTTAATGTTTAAAATGTTTTAGACTTGCTGTTTTTGTTTTAGTGAAGGAAAGGTCCTATTAGTATTTAAAGGGATAGTTCACCCAAAAATTCTGCTGTTGAACACAAGAGAAGATATTTTGAAGAATGTTGGCAACCAGTCAGTCGCTGGCACCCATTAACTTCTATAGTATGGGGAAAAATACTATGGAAGTCAATGGGGACCATCAAGCGTTTGGTTACCAACATTCTTCAAAATATCTTCTCTTGTGTTCAACAGAAGAAAAAAACTCAGACAGGTTTGGAACAACATGAGGGTTGAGTAAATGATGACAGAAATTTCATTAGAAGTTGTTATAATTCAGAAAGACTGATGCAAACTGCAAACATGTGTCTTTAGAGTGAGTTCTACATCTCAAAATACCTCTTTAGGGAGAGAGTAGTCTAGTGTCGCAGTCACACAGATACGGATGGAGCTGAAATAGAGTTCAGTCGGACATAATTATGAATGATGAATCGTGAACAAAATATACCATACAGGATTTAAAAAAGGAGGAAAAACAAAGTGTGTGTAAATGTGTGGTGACAGAATAGTGTAAACATAAAATATAAAAACTGGCCTTGCATGGTGTAGATTCGTAGAAAAGTGGTGCAGTAAAAAATACTCAAGAAATAATATTACAACGAGAAATATAAATAAAAATAAGCATTTCTAAATGCAAAGTAATTGTTATTTTCTTTTGATTTTGGACTAAAGTGTGAGCTATTTTGTGACATTGGCTCACCTATTTGTAGCTAAAAGTTATTTTAATTAATTATTTATGTATTATTTGAATAATTCAGTGGCTCAATGGGAAATATCATAATTCAGAAGTGTTGGTGTTTTGGTTTTGTTGAGCAGAAGTGTTTCTCAGTGCTGAGTCAGTACTATGCTGTAATGTTTTGATGCCATGGCAGTAACTTGTGTAAAGAAGGCTGGGTTGGGTTTCCACTGAGCTGATATTATCTGCAGGCACACACGCAAACATTCAGATCACACGGAGTACTGTGCGTGTTTTCAGTTTCATTTACACACAGCAAAGTGACACATTAACACTTGAGCGAGGTAAGCAATACAAATACAGAGCTTGGATTGTGATGTAAATTTACTCATCGTTATTAATAATGTATTGAAATATTGTTTGAATGCTTAAATATAAACTGTTTGTGTGTGTGTGTTTGTTTTTGTGTGTGTTTTTATGTGTGTGTTTTTGTGTGTTTTTGTGTGTGTGTGTTTTTGTGTGTGTGTTTGTTTTTGTGTTAATGGCTCAATACAGGATCTGTAGTTTTCCACTATCACAGTCATTAAAGTGTCCTCAGTGGATGCCTCATCTGATCTCATTAACTCCATTCAGCGCTAACGAACTGTTGGTCCAGGCCTGTTGGAACATGTTGAGATAAATGTTGAGGAAAAAACATCCCTGTCCACCCTTATATATAGTTATGTGTTTAAAATAACATGATTTTTTTGAAAGAAGTGTCTTATGCACACTAAGGCTGCATTTAGTTGATCAAAAATACAGTAAAAAAAGTGCTGTTTTTATTATATTTTTGTGTAAACCGTGACATTCAACATTCAAAGGTTAAGGGCAAGTAAGATTAAAAAAAGAAATTAATACTGTTATTCAGCAAAGGCACATTAAATTGATCAAAAGGGACAGTAAAGACATTCATAATGTTTCTGTTTCAAATAAATGCTGTTCTTTTGAACTTTCTATTCATCAAAGAATCCTGAAAAAAAAGTGTATCATGTGGGTGTATTTGGCTTCAGCGTTTCCCGTGAGTCACATACTGAAGCACAAATGCTGTTCTTTAGTGGAAACTAAAAAATAACCCAGAATTATCTTTTACCAGATACGACGCGAAGCCCCCGTCCAGGAGAGGAGAACGGCAAAGGTTAGGCTTTTGATCTTGTGTGCTACAGAAAACACAGCTTTTCTGAAAATATCTTTTGCATTAGGGCTGGCTTTTGACACAAATTTCACGATTCGATTCGATTCAATATCGATTATTTTGGATATATATCAGGTACAGTACTTGGCTATTAATGTGGAGGAGATGATCAGTTCACGCGTCTGTTGATTGAGGCGCTACAGCGATCTGTCACTCCACATTAAACAGCGCCAAAACGGCATTTATTGTTTGAATATTGCAATACAATGGACAGAATTTGAAATCTGAGACTTTGTTTCATATTAAAAGTACCAACGCACAATGCTTATTACGATATATTGGATGGGAAGTGCCCTTCAACGTTCTGTCCATTAACTGTAAACAGGCTAGACTAATCGATTCTTGGGATTTAAGAATCTATATCATTCCGTAAAAATGAGAATCGTTTTGCATTATCCTCACTGAACAAAACCCAGCAAGCATAACATGTTTTCACAATGACATCACAATTGACATGACTAGTCCAACAGAATCAAATCTTAAGGCCTGTTCAAAAAAAAAAACAAGACAAATGTTTGGTGGAAACATTTGGTGTGATTAAACATGTTAATTTGAGTGAACGGCAGTTTATGTGACTGTTCAGGCCAACATAAACATTCACATGGCGTCAGTGCAATCCTTTTTTATACAATAATATTCACGCTTTTGGTTACATGCCCAGATCCGCTGCTATTACATAAACCGTTGCTCAAAAACACGAAACATAATAGCGAATAAAAAAATTGGAATGGCTGTTTGGCTTTGTTTATTCTCATCAGTATAATATCAGTCATAGCAGCAAATACTTAGACAAACATATAATTATTAATAAAAAAGAAAAAATACAAATAGGGTATGTCAACCTGAGTTTTTGTGCTGAACATTAGTGTTTGTGAGAACAGGCCTTTAGCTGTAGTTTCTCATACACATAAGATCATCAAGAGAGAATCGGTTCTTGAACCTCAGTGTTGTAATGATGGAGCTGGAAACGATGCATTGACACAGTTATGAGCTCAAATTGGTGCAGCAGCTATGAATTTGTGCTGCTTGTTGTTTTTATTAGTATTCTGGCTCATCAGTTACAAGTTTGTCAATGATTGACATACTGACATGCATATCATCTTTTTTTCAGACTATCATTACGTTACCAGGGAAGTGATGAAGGCAGCCATAGCAAATGGTGAATTTATCGAAAATGCTGAATTTTCAGGGAACCTGTATGGAACAAGGTACAGTCCTCCTTATAAAGAGTCTTGCGTTTATATGTGAAGGTACATCACTGACATCCTCTTGATACTGAAAGAATTTCTTAAAAGATTTTGCCATTACTGAATGGTTTGTAACAGGGGTGTCCTGCAGAGTTTAACTCCAACACACTTTACTGGGAGTTTCGAGACCTTGATTAGCTGATTCAGGTGGGGTTGATCCTGCGTGGCAGTGTTTTTTATTTCAAGTAAATACTTGATAATATTTTTTTATTTCATATTTTGTATTTTTAGGGGATTTTGTGGTACTAAATTATATTTATGGAATAGTTATGATCCATTTATTGCCTGTTAACAATGTTTTGAGCATTGACCTTAAAATTAAATTTCTAACTTAAACTGTCATAAATCTTGAGTGCTTTGGAGCACAAACTTAAGTTTCATCTCATTTAAAAAAAAAAAAGACACTTGGAAGATTA